TCCAGGTGTGTGACTACAGCAGTCCTGGTATCTGAGTTCAGTGGATCTGAGCTGGTGGTTTTGTGAGCACAGTGCCTGAGGGACACACTGGCTGACTGCCTGCTTTCCCATGGTTGAGGTGGGGCTGAAGGCAGTGTCAACAAGAGTGTACTTTGTGAGTCCACATAATGGGTGACAGGTGACACCACAGAAGGCACGTCACAATGGACAGCCCCTACAGAGGAACACTCAGTGGCTCCTCTCCCACTGGAAGTGCTCCAGTCCACCTACCTCAAATCACAGCTCAGAAACAGACCTGGGGCATCTACTCCAAAACCTGGGGAGCAGACCCTGCCCCCAACAGGGCTAAGACATCCACAGAGCAAAGAGGAAGCACTGCTCAACATCAAGTGCAGGCTCTGATTACCACAATGCCAATCATAATCCCCATCAAGGGGATAACAACCAGTATGTGCTGAGAAAAGATGTGTCAGACATCCATATTAAAAACAGCCTTTGCACCAAAAATATTAGACTCACAATGGCCACACAAGTATGTTCCCACATGAAAACAGCCTTTCAAGACCTCAGTAGATACCTGTTTCTCTTAAACTCATAGAGTCAGGTAAATATAAGTTAAATGAAGAAGCAGGATCAAATAAAAGATCAAGAGAATTTCCCTGAAAGGACAAACAATGAAACAGACCTCTACAGTCTACTAGAACCTAAATTCAAAAAGGGGATGATAAAAATACAGGAGGAATTAAGAAAAGCTATTGATAGAAGTGCAGATTACTGTAAAAATGAACTAGAAACAATAAAGTGGAGCCAATTAAAATTAGGAAACTCATTTACTAAGATAAAAGCTGAGCTAAAGCAATAAATAGCAAACTGAATGATGCAGAAGAACAAATAAGTCACCTGGAAGATAGAATTATGGAAATTATCCAATCAGAACAGCAGACAAAGACAAATGAAAAAGAGTGAAAGCAATATATAAAATCTATAGGATAATACAAGGTGTGCCAATCTATACATAATAGGGATCTCAGAATGAGAAAAAAGAGAAAGAGGGATCAAAAATGTATTTGGAGAAATTATGGCTGAAATTTTCTCAAACCTAAAGAAGGAAATAGATATCCAGGTACAAGAAGTCTAAAGAGCTCCAAACAAGATGAATCCAAACAGACCTACACCAAGGCATATTCTAATTTAAAATGGCAAAATTTAAAGATAAAGAGAGGATTCTAAAGGGAGCAAGAGAAAAGCAAAGAGTTAGTTACAAGAGATATCCCGTAAGTCTTTCAGCTGATTTCTCTACAGAAATGTTGCAAGCCAGAAGGAAGTGGCAAGATACATTCAAAGTTCTGAAAGGGAGTAATAATCTAGGATACTCTACCCAGCAATATTATCATTTAGAATAGAAGGAGAGATAGAAAAAATTTCTCAAACAAGATAAAACTAAAAGAATATGGTAAAACTAAACCTATAACAAAACAAATATTGAAAGACCTTCTCTAAATAGAAAAGAAACAAGAGTTTATAGGAAAGAGAAAATCACAAATGGAAATGTGATGATAAGTACAATGAACAGCAAAAGAATAAACATGAATATGTAAAAGATAACTTCAAAATCAAAAAAGTGGGGGAGGGGAGTAAGAAGATGTAGACTTTTTTAAAAGAATGTGTTTGAGCCTACATGACTAGCAGTCTAAATAAAGTTGATATAGTAATAGGTTAACATAATTGAGACAAATCAAAAACATAGAAATAATTACAAAGACCACAAAAAAAATAGAGAGAGCACACAAGCATAATACAAAAGAAAACTGTCAAATCAAAAAGGAAAAACAAAAAGACAAAGATAAGAACAAAAAAGAAATACAAAATGAACTGACAAATAAGGTTTAAAATGGCAATGAATACATATCTGTTAATAATTACCTTAAACGTCAATGGACTAAATGCTCCAATCAAAAGACACAGAGTAGCAGATTGGATAATGAAACAAGAGCCTGCAATATGCTGCCTACAAGAAACCCACCTTAAGGTGAAGGACACAAATAGATTGAAAGTGAAGGGATGGAAAAAGATTTCATGCAAACAGAAATGACAAGAAAGCAGGGGTAGCAATATTCATATCACACAAAATAGACTTTAAAACAAAAGCCATAATGAAAGATGAAAAAGGACACAATATAATGATCAAAGGAGCAATACAAGATGAGGATATTATACTTGTTAACATCTATGCACCCAATATAGGAGCACCTACATACATAGAACAAATACTAACAGATATAAAGGGAAAAAAATGAAGAGAATACAATAGTAGGATACTTTAACACCCCACTGACATCAATGACAGATCTTCCAGAAAGAAAATCAATAAGGCAATATAGATCTTAATTCACATAATAGAACTGTTAGACTTAGTTGATATTTTCAAGACAATACATCAAAAACAAACAAAAATCCAAACCCAGAATACACATTCTTTTCAAGTGAATGTGGAACATTCTC